AAGGATTAGAACTAAATATGGAGTAAATTGAACTACAATAAATTAAAATTTAGCATTTAAAATAATTCTATGAAAAATATTCATTTAAAGTATAAATGTGACAAAATAATAATCTATTTGAATCCCATGAACCCATTCATAGCATACAATCTAATGTGCAATCTTTGTCATCAAATGGGATGTGTTAAAAGTTTTTTTACCTAACTAACAAGACAATATTTACGATAAGGTATGTTGTTGAAGTGAAATAAGAATTACCATAACAAAATGGGTGACAATTGCTAAAACAATGACAAATGCAAGGATAATTATTTGTTTAGAAATTCCATTAAGAAAAGAATCAGTTGTTGGTTCATTTGTTAAAAGAATATGCTTGATCCGGCCAAGGAATACTACCACAAATGAAATACTACAACCACTAAGTATTGCAAATAGTAGACCAATGAGAAAAATGCTAATTCCTGATTTGGTGTCACAAATCTGAAAATTTAAAAAAATCATAAATTGTCCAATCAATAAACTTATCCATATGCAATCATTAGTACCTTACATGAAGTAAGTGGTTTATATTTAGAGGTAGACATTGAATAATACAAAAATATGGGACTTACTCAATTTAAACAAATTTTCAATCAATCTTAAAAATTTCATTCTAAATTTTTCATCTAGAAAATATTTTGTTTAAGTTTGTAAAATTTCATAAGTAAGAGAAAATGGAAAAACATACCATTCCAAAAAATATTTTCTGCTTTACAAACCATGATAGCATCTTTTGTTTTTTGCTAAATTTGCATACCATTAGAAATATGTTACTTAAGCAGATTTCAATTAAATTAGAATTCAAAATTAAAATTTATAAATTTGAAATATTTTTGAAAAAGAAAACTGACCTTTTGAAATTTGTTATCAAACAATCAGCAATAGTTATTTCATTTTTACTATTCATATTTCCAATGATCACATGTTGCTTATCATTTACTATCGTTGTATTTTCAATTTGTCTTTTTTCTTCCATATTTGTTTCATTACCGTAATATTGTTGCTCGTTTTGTTTCATCTTCTTTCACTTTCGTTTTTTTCTTTTTTTTTTTTAATAATTGATTTTGTTAAAATCGGTAATCCAATTCCTTTCAATTATAATTTACTAATTAAAACCCTCTAATATTCTTTACTGATCAATTTTATTCCATTCGGAAAATTAATTGATTATATTTTAGAAACAATGAATGAAAGTTTTCAACCTTCTCACTTGTATACAAGTAAGTTATTGCTTTTCTTTTTGTGAATATTTAAATTTATTACAAATGAAGATTTAAATAAACAATTATCTCTTATCAAATTTATTTTAGAAATGATTTTAATAAGTTATAAAAATCTTTTAATATTTTCATTATGAAGCATTTAGTTATGTAAAGAGTTTAAAAGATATTGATAGATAACCATTTTGAGAAAATTAACAAAATGAATTAGATTTTATCATTTTATTCAAAATATTTGAACATACTTGAAAATGTTTGAGACGTTCACGAAAAATTGACAATTTCAAATTTTCTGCAACTATTGCTTTTCTACAAATACATCTTTGTAGATCGATGTAAAATGTCACTTCAATTTTTCAACGATCTTTCGAAAATGACATTAAAAAAGTGTTGTAAGCGCTTGTTCTTTTCTAGAAGAATTTAAATGATTCTTATGCTTCTATTTTTGGAATTGAATATATTGGGCCTCATTTTGGAAGTAAAGATTTATATTTGAATTTGATTAATGATATTGAATATTAACAGCATATTGAAGTGAAAAATTACTTAGTTTTGTTCAAATTAGAAAGATTTTTCTTTTTCTCTCCTCTTAATGTATTAACCATATTCAAATAGTATAACCGATGAAGAAAAAAAAAGCATCAAAGATATATCATTTCTATTAGCATGAAAATGATTCACAAAAAGAGGAAGTACCAAAGTATCGGAAATATCGGAAATCAATTTCTGAGAAGTGATTGAATTTGCTGATGAAAATAAATGAAAAGAATGATGATATTTCTTTAGCCCGATAAATTTTAACAAATGCATAACATATTCAATGAAATTCTTTTTTTGGATAAAAAATTTCTTCAAGTTCGATTAATTTCACGCTACTATTTTGCATATTTGAAACGATCGGTGAATATTTTTCAGTCAATTTTAGTGAAACAAATTCAAAACTAAAAAATAACTTCAAAAAAAATTAGTAATAGTTGAAATCCTTTCCGTTCTTTTATTTCAGTTTTCTGGATTTTGATGAAATTTAACATTGCTAATTCTCGATGCTTACGTGGATTTTTGATAAGCGATCATTGAGTACGCTCATCTTAGAAGAACAGATGATAGTAATTATATGATTAAATGAGTTAAACAATAGGTGACAGTATAATGTCCAGTTTCACATTAATATAAGGATATAGATTTGGAATGAAAATAGATTAAAGGAACAATGGAATGATTGTTAGGAGGGAAGGAGCGGAACATCAAAGAGATCATTAATGAATTGAAGTTATAAAATAGAGAAAGAAAAAAAAGAGGGAGAGAGAGTTACGTAAATTGTTAAATTTCAGGATGTGAAACAAAATGAAAGTATTGTTAAAGGTATTGATGCATAGAAAAGATTGGATGAAATGATAGCTACTTTTTAAATATATAAGTATTATTAACACGGAAAAAATCAATGAATATACGATGGTAGTAGCAATGATTGGATGGAATGAAAATGAAAATTTAATAAAAATTGAAACAATTTTGGGGACAGTCGCATGAGATTGTGCCAGAATTGAATAATTTACTGGATTGCAATATAACTAATAACCGGATTGTACTATAACTAATAACCGGACCGTACTATAACTAATAATCGGATCGTATTATAACTAATTCTAGTCGAATAGTACTATAACAGCTGCTATTACAGAATGAACTACTGTGAGTTTTTGAATTATTCAGCATAATATAACGTAAAAAAAAAAAAAAGAATGTAAGGATAGTGAAGAGCAAAAATGATGACATGTTTCTTGAGAGTTGACTGTCAATATGAGGTTCATGACAAAGATGGATCCAATATGATGAAAGAGATCGTAAAAAAAAATTAGCACAAAAAAACACTGGTGAAATCTTGAAAGCAAAAGCTTTGAATGCGATGACATGTTGTTTGAAAGTTGATTGTCAATATGAGGTTCATGACAAAGATGAATGCAATATGATAAAAAAGATTGCAAAAAAAAAAATTAGCACAAAAAATATTGGTGACATCTTGAAAAAAAAAGGAAACAATTAATCTATTATGGAAAATGAATTACTAATTGAGAACACTATAAAATAAGAGCGTACATTTTCCAATTGAAATCTATAATGATGAAAGTGTAATAATGTTGATATAGGTTAAAAAATTGTATGTACACAAATCGATGTGACATGTAGATGACAAAGATACAAGTTGAAATACAGGATGAAATACATTTATGGAAAGAATGGATAGATGATACATAATGTATCGTTGATATTGAAATATGTAAAAGGACATAGGCATGTATTGAATGAAAAT